TTCATCAAATTATAGATAGGGAAATTATCATTGGGAAAGGATGATTCAGCATGATAAAATAAAATGTTGAAACAGAGATGAAATGTAATCGGAATGATTGTGGAAATAAACACAAACCAGTTGGGAGTAGAAGATTCAAAGGGAAGATGGAAGGTGAAGCAGATGGCTGTAAAGGAACAAGAGTATGAGTAAGAGAGAAAAATTTTAATACATTAAGAGCATGGTAGAAGGAGAGGTTGTACCAGTCTATTTTGCACACACAATTCTGGTTTTTCCAGATGTATGGCTATTGCTTCGGCAATGCAAAGAAGATGCAGTCTAATTGTATTAGGAAGACTTCTACTTACCTTGTCGATGACTTTGAACGCAGAGTCTGTCTTGATTGGGTGACCTGTGTTCACAAGGTGTTCGATTATAGAACTTCTTATTGAGCCACTGCCTCCTCTTTTTAGCCACGCCGGACAATGTTCTTGAATTCTTTTGGATAAAGTATCATTATCATCCTGTAAAAATAAGGTTTTTTCCATAATTACCTGATGCATCTGCTGCTTCCTGCTCATTAGCACGCTTCGAACACCAGGCTTCCCGGTCCTTACGCACGCTTTGTCCAATTTCCTTACGTAACATCCTTCGTTTATGGTCAAACTCACGGTCACCTCGAGTAGACCAACGGGCTTCAATGAGTTGTGGATCTGTTACCTGAAGAAAGATTTCTCGACCTTGAGTATGCGGATGATATTGTCTTACTGTGTGATGATGCCCAAGGCATGCAATCCGCACTTAGTCAGTTGGCAATCAGTGTCCGTAGGTATGGTATGTGCTTTGCACCTACGAAGTGCAAAATACTTCTACAAGACTGGCAGGATCCTAATCCTGTACTCACTCTGGATGGCGAGCAGATAGAAGTAGTCGAGAGGTTCGTGTATCTGGGTAGCTGCATAAGTGCTAGTGGGGGTGTGAGTGATGAGATCAATGCACGTAAAGTGAAAGCCAGAGCGGCTTATGCCAATCCGAGCCATCTTTGGCGCCTTCGTGATGTTAGTCTGGCTGTAAAAGGTCGGATCTACAGCGCCTCGGTGAGAGCAGTTTTGCTCTATGCTTGTGAAACCTGGCCTCTCCGAGTTGAGAACGTTAGACGACTCTCTGTGTTCGATCACCGTTGTCTCCGAACTGGTAAAGTTTTATTAAACATCTACTAAATCATAATAAGATCATTTGTCTATATTAAGGAACTTAATCATATAAGATTACTGATGGTTACCGGATGCTGATCTAGTCTATATTCAATTAGCTTAAAATCAATGATTGTAACCAATAATTCATTAGAACAACACATATAAGCGAACAATATTGTTTTCAATTAGATCGTCATCAGATTTTCCTCTAATATACATGAATATTTATATGAAAATGTTAAACCAATCAATGCAATATGGGTCAATAATCACAATGAAATAGGGTAAGTCTCTACACATATTAGGTAAGAGTACAAAAGTATAGTAGGAATAGAGGTGTACTGATAGTAGTTAGAATAATAAAATAAAATAGAGTAACAAAACTCTTATCAATAGTTAATCGTTGGAAATAGAAGGTCAAACAAACATGGGTAAATAGAATTACAATAGTCATCACAAAACACTAAAACCATTATGTAATAAGAAGTGAGTAAGTAATTAGACAGTGAAGAATACGAACGGAAAGAGGCGGAAAGTTACAAACAAATAATGGATGTGGAAATAAGGTTAACGATAACACAAATAGAATAAAATCGTTAGTTAAGTTATAACTGAACATGGGAGGGATGGGGGGGTCACGTATTTCTTCTGTACACATAAATTGGGGTTATATGTACGAATTCCTATGGCTTCAGCTATATGCAGGAGGCGGGAACGAACTCCGTCGAAAAATGATGGAGGTATACGATAGATAACTCGAAGTGATTTCGATTTATCTACAGCATGATCACTATCAATGAGATGTGCCAAGATAGAACTGCGAATAGATTTTCTCTGGCCCTTTATGTACCAAGTTGGTAAATGTTCACTCATTCGTTGGTTAAGTTGCCTGATAGTACGCCCTATATAGCTATCTGCACAGGAGCAGCTGAATTTGTAAATGCACATAGAAGAGGCCAACTCAGGTAACTTATCCTTCGTTTGAGTGAGTAGACATCGCTGGTCGACAAGAGAAGGTCAACGCAAGATTGGCTGCGTAGAATGTCCTGGTGATTACTTTGGTTAACCTATATTTCAGAGTGTCACTAGCCACATCCCCGTTGAATTGCACTTTCATTTATAAAGGTTTCTTACGAACAGTCGAAATCTCCGACTTCTTTATTATATTATGCATGTACGTCTTAATGAATGCTCTGGGGTAGCCGATCTCGGTCAGTGAGTTGTTGATAAATTCAAGCTCCTGACTTAGAGTGTCTACTGTACAGATCTTTTTTGCTCTGCTCGTGAGACATCTGACCAAATTTCTCTTGTACCGGATGGGTGTGAAACTGCAGAAGTGAGTATATTGGCATGAAGAGGGGTTTCTTCTATACACGCTTCTACTTAATGTGCCGTCACTTCGTCTGCTTAGTGTGACGTCAAGGAAGTTCAGCTTCTTATCATGCTCGCTTTCACCAGTGAAAGTGATCGCTGGGTGAACACTGTTGAATTGGTCTAGGAGTTCCTCTTTACTAGTGTTTTGATCTACGATGATGAAGGTGTCGTCAATGTATCGGCAATATAAATCAAGTTTCGTAATAGTCTCATTGAGAGGTCCATTTTCTAGCTTTGCTAGGAAGAGATCAGCTCATGGCTATCCCGTCTATTTGTCTATAATAAGTATTGTTGAAGACAAAATGTACATTCAGAGTGCATCTTTGGAGCAGTTCCCTTAGGCTATCGTTAGGCAAGCCAATGTTGATTTGTTTTTCTGATATTTGCTTGCATATAAACTTAATAGTCTCTATAAGTGGTACGTTGGTGAACAAAGATCCTACATCCAATGAGATCATATTTTTCATACTAACATTAATATTTTCTACTTTGGAGGTGAAGTTGAAGACATCTTTTACACTATTTCTAACAACTGATTTGTGTAAAGGTTCTAAGATTCGTACTAGCCACTTTGCGATTTTGTGATAAGGGGAATTGTACATATCTAGGACTGGGCGTAGAGGAAGACCCGATTTATGTACTTTAGGCAAACCATACAGTCGTGTAAATGATCCAGTCGGATTAATTGAATCGTGAATCTCAGTCGTAATTATTCCCTTTTTCTTTAGATCTTTAAGGAAATCGGCCAATTGTCTTCCTACTTTATTATTGATGTCACAATTACTAGTAATTTTCTGAAATTTGCTAGAATCGCTAAGCATTGTTTCCATTTTTCCCATGTAATCATTTTTGTTCATGAGAACTATACCTCCTCCTTTATCTGGTTTGGTTATGGTCAGGGTTTCATCTTTTCTTAGTTTCATTAAAGAGTCTCGGTGCTGCTTGGTTAGTAGGTGATTTGTGGTACCCTTACTATTCTTGTATTGTTGGCAGCTATCAACTAGTGTGGTTTTAAACCGAGCAAGGTCCTCCAATGAGGTAGGAATCAAGTCAGTTGTTTGTGAAAATAAATTCTCAAACTGTACATCAGTATCTAATTGGTTGATTCTATGTCTACTAGACTTCTATCTGAAGTTTGTGATGATGATGTCGTTCAGAAGAACGACGAAAGCTCCACGACCAAACCATCCAGTTCAACAACGAAATTCCATTAAAATCATCCACTTGAGCTAAAAATCTTCTCCACAATCTCATTATCTAATTATTTACACACATCTTATTACGTAATGATTTTAATGTTTTGGTGTTGACTATTCCTAGTCTATTTACAAACGTTTGTTTGACCTTCTATTTCTGACGTTTAACTATTGATAAGACTTTTGTGATCGTATTTCATTATTCTTACTACTATCAGTTCACCTGTCTTCCTACAACTATCAACTTGTACTTTTACCTATTATGTGTAGTGACTTATTCTATTTCATTGTGATTATTGATCCAGATTGCCTTGATTGGTTTAACATTTTCGTATAAATATTCATGGATATTAGAGTAAAGCCTGATGACGATCTAATTGAAAACAATATTGTTCGCTTATATGTGTTGTTCTAATTTTCACAATGGGAATCTTTAATAGTCTGTTTCAGTCTGACCAAATGGACGACAGCACCGACCCTCGTACAAGTACAAATTTTAAGTTGCATTGTCTGTTCGAATGATAATTCTAACTGACTGAAAATTTCCAATCGGAAATAACGAAATCTGAATTGTCTAGCGTAATTGAAAGTACACTTCAACAATATTCGATCGTCCATGAATTTCCGAAATATACGAATTGACCTTTGTGTCGTTATACAACGAATTCATAGGCGTATCTCACTAAAACCTCACCACAACATGAAGCTGGTTGGCATTAATTTTGGGATTTCGCACGGAAGTTAGGGAATTTTTAGGATGAAACTCACACCACGGAATTCACTCGCTTCAGGGATACCATTCAACCAATGTTACCAAGTGATTAAGATCGAATTCACCATACATAAAGATCTCCACTAAGACGAAAAACCTATTCAGAGTTGACTAACTACTCAACACACCTTACGAAAATGTCATATCGCGGTTCAATGTACCTACAATAACCAACCGCACACCGAAATAAGTGGAGTGTTTGTGCAATTGCCACAATGAGCACTATCACTGATCACTTCAAATATATGAACATGATTTAAATTCTGAGAGCGTTATTCATTACACAGACATATACACAAATTGAATCATCTATTTGGCGTAAATCAGTTGAGTGCCTCTTTGTACCAATGTTTATATGCTTAAATAAAACATATACACTTGCTAACTAAACATAAGTCAGTATCGTCATTCAGTCGGCGCACAACTCTACTGCTATTGATAGGGTCTTCATGAGGCAACCGCCTTAAAGATCAGTGGGTTCTTGTCGAATGGCTATCTGTCTCAAATCAAATTCAATAACCGAAGTGGAGATACTGTGAACTACAGTACGTAATTGTTTACCTGAGATGAATATAAATTAACGACTGACAAATACATTCACCGATTCGAGCCTACTACTTTGTTACAAATTTTCTAAACACCAACCACAGTATCAGCTTGAGGAACTGAGGACTATGTTTGTAAAATCTCAGCGAATGAATTTGAAGTAAATCCAACGTTTCGCCTGACAATCTGGTCCAAGCTTTTTCAAGGAAAAAAATATAATCAAACAACAAAATTATCGAATATAAATAGGTACCATGGTTCTTCGGTTTACTGTATACTGAATAAATCATCTAATCAACGTGAAGGATTTCTTTATAAATAGGTATTTGTATTAATGTGTAAAAGACATATATTTTTTATCAGAATGGGTTTTGTGGAGAGTTTTAGAAATTCCACAGGTTGAAATCATGAGTCCACCATGGAAAACATTGAAGCACTGGACGGCCGTTTCGTTCTAGTATGGGACTCCTCAGCAGTGCGCATCCATGATGTGTTTATATGAAAATAAATATGAAAAATAATAAAGGTCAACCAAATAAAAGTTCATTTGAAAATAACCAAGGGGAGAGAAGGGAATAAGAAAAATTGTCGTGTTATCCTAGGCCATATAGAATGATTTAAGGATTACAAGGTAAATTGAAGGTTAAGACAAACTTGTCATTGTACAAACATAAGGACAAGGTATGTGATTATGGAACCAAAAACGTGTTAAGACAACTGAATGTGTTTATACGCAAGTGATGTAAGAAGAAGAAATTCATTCAACTATATATATTGTCTTCGGTCGGTGAATATTAAGAAAAACAGATCATTTTTATATATCAAATGAATCAAAAATGCCACAGCCTGCATTCGATGGAGATAAATAAGATAAGTAAACAAAAAATAAAAGAGGAATGTATATGTAATTGAAGTGTGTTATTTTAAAATGTTCCAGTCAATTGTTTAACATATTCAGATAAGATAACGGATTTGAATCATTGAACGTATTATCTATCAATTAGTTACTATGGCATAAATATATCAAATGGCAAAAAGGAGATCAGGTTTACTTATTAATTATTAGTTGCCATGGTGCAGCTAGTTGTATTCCATCTCTCCTATTATTATTGTTTAAATTAGCCCATATATGTAAGGCTTCGGCTGTTAGGCGTTCTTTGTAAGAATTAAATCCTTTTTGAATGATTTCAATTATGGCTAATTTATTCATGCATTCATTGGAAACAATTGCTATCTCAATGTGTTCCATTCCACCAAAAATTTGGGTAAGATACGTAGATGATACCTTTGTCATCATAAAACGAGATGGCTTAGACGAACTATTCCAACGGTTCAACAGCGTAGATGACAAAATCAAGTTTACTAATGAGTTGGAATCGACTGAACGCAGATTACCGTTTCTAGACTGCCTGGTTGAAAGGAAGGATAATGATTTTTTAAAAATTAATATATTCCGTAAGCCTACATATTCAGGGAAATTTTTAGATTTTAAGTCAGCGCACCCACACGCGACCAAAGTGACAGTGGCCAAAAATTTGATCACCAGAGTCAAAAAACTTGTCACTGAACCGAATGATATAAAAATAGAAAGGAATTTAGTTGTATCCAATGATACGTTCAATGATTCAAATCCGTTATCTTATCTGAATAGGTTAAACAATTGACTGGAACATTAAAATAACACACACCTTCAATTACACATACATTCCTCTTTTATTTTGTTTACTTATCTTCATTTAATGCAGGCTGTGGCAATTTTGATTCATTTCATATATAAAAATGATGTGTTTTCTTAATATACACAGACCGTAGTCAATATTAAGTTGAATGAAATTTTTTCTCATATCACTTGCGTATACACACATTCTGTTATCTTAACACGTTTTGGTTCCATAACACATAAAAAACAATTTGTCATAACCTTGAATTTACCTTGATAATCCTTAAGTCATTCTATATGGCCTAGGATAACACGACAATTTTTCTTATTCTTTCTCTCCCCTTTGATTATTTTCAAATGAACTTTTATTTTATTTGTTTGACCTTTATTATTTTTCATATAAACATGTCTCTTACACATTAATACAAATACCTATTTATAAAGAAATCCTTCACGTCGATTGGATGACTTATTCAGTGTACAGTAAACCGAAGAACCATGGTACCTATTTATATTCGATAATTTTGTTGTTTGATTATATTTTTTTCCTTGAAAAAGCTTGGACCAGATTACCAGGCGAAACGTTGGATTTACTTAAAATTCATTCGCTGAGATTTTACAAATATATTCTTCTTTTTAATGTTTCAAATTAACTCGGCGCCCAAATATTGTGAAACTATTCGTTCAAATTTAGACGAAAGTTCTTATTAACTGAGGACTATGTTATAGACATCAAACCGACGCGTATTTTGACCATTTTTTATAGTGAACGAAGAGATTTCTTGTTAAGGTGAATTTTCTAATGATTACTATTGATATGTTACTTGATTTGGCCGCATCGCGGTCTTAGACAACGATATTTCGTGTCAAAATTACTTAGTAATCTTGAGACAAAATTAGTGTAAATTACAAAAAATAATGTCGTATATCTGAATTCACACAATCAGGAAATTCACATATTTCAAGGTTACATGATATATAGTGAAGATTGAGATGATTTATCATTTGTTTGTAGTTATGAATATACAAGGGAATCAATGCAGCTCAATTTACATAAGAATGACAAAACTGAAACAACGAGAATGACAATACTGAATTTCAGTGGAACTGATATTTATGGTATACGAAGTTGAATACATGATTATTAACCATTGCACAATTCTTTAGGCAGTAAAAAAGCATCGTTTAATAAAAGCCAGAAGGAAATAAAACGAAACTGATAAATATCACAAACTGTTATCCATGTAGTTAATACAACACAATTTTGTACTTCTTTATTTGGCGAACCATAAACCAAGTTATGATAACGGTTAACAACTGGAGGAAGCATACACCAAATGCAACACAAGCAACAACTATCAGGTTGCGTTTTAAGAATGCTGCGAAGATAGACGCACACCCCTGGAAATGATAAAAGGGAAATTATTACCATACGATGTATGGATGAGTAGTAAAATCATTTGAGATATATGTTAGTTCTATACCTGCAGTTTATAAATAGTGTATTAGAACTGATAGAGTTTCAAGTCGCAAGGGTGGAGGCATGATATTATACGTTAGGGATCAATTTTGTATACAATTAATCAAATCAGGGGCGCATGTTAATGGTAAGTTTGAGGTAGCATATTGCACAATTAAGTCCAGAAAGGGCGTAGTGACTGTAGGAGGAATATACCGTAGTCCGTGTTGTCTTGCTGACGACTTTATCTTTAGACACATCTGTTCTTGGAGTATGGCAGAATGTTGTCTCATCATTGAAAACTTCAACGCACTGCATATCAACTGGATAGCGCTTACAGCTCCAGGTGAGGGTTTCTATAGCGACCTTCTATCAACCATTATTCAGTGTGCACTTGTACAATGCATCGAAAAACCGACACATATTGACTCGGAACATGACCCGTCATTGCTGGACCTTGTCCTCACACACCATTGTGGGGATATCATCGACGTTCAGCACCTTCCCCTCACTAGTGAATAGTAATCACGTTGTACTGTACTTTAAGTTTAGGACACATGGCATACAATTTGTATCTGCTCCACCCCGTCCCGATATCTGGCGAGCTAATATTCCGGCAATCAGGGACTGTGCTATCTCGACTGATTGGTCGGTTGACGTGGATGGATCGATCGAAGACGAATGGAATAAGTTTATGGTTACATTCGAGTCCGTTACATCACCGTTTATCCCATGGTCAACACGTAAGCTAACACATTGCCCACCATGGATTATTAAGGAAACCCGGAAGCTGTTGAAGCGTAGGAAACACTTCTGGGACTTGTTCTTGTCAACAGGACATGCATCATTTAAGTGTGAATATCAGGAAGTCCGGAATATCTATAAAAAGACCATAGCTAAATCCCGTACTACTTACGAACGACAGTTGGCATATGATAGTCGTACTTTTCTGAAACCACTGTTTTCTTATGTTAAACGGCGAATATAATGTAGTGATGATATTCCCCCACTACTGTTACACGAAAATTCAGATTTACTAGCTGAATCAGATCGGGCAAAAGCTGAGACTTTTTCAAACTATTTTAGCAAAGTCTACTCTACGTGTATTGTTAAAAATACTCGTCCCAATCACACCGAGATACCAGCCAGTGAATCTGTACAGGTGACTGAGGAAACTGTTCTTCCATTGATAACTAACCTCAAACCTTGTGAGATACCGGGCCCCGATGGGTTACATCCACGACTGCTGTCATCTCTTGCGGACATTATTTCAAGACCGCTCGCGACGCTCTTCAACATAACCCTTTCACCCGCCCAACTCCCTAGAGATCGGAAAGACGCTATAGTCAGTGCTATATTTAAGGATGGTCAGAGGCAGATAGTATCTAACTACCGACCTGTCAGTCTAACTAGCATAGTCGTTAAGTTACTTGAAAAGATAATTCGGGTTAACTTACTAAGTCACATAGATTCACACAATTTGTTAGCTCCTGAGCAACATGGGTTTTGTAGCAAGCGTTTGTGCTTGACTAACTTGCTTATTGCGAGAGAGGATTGGACAGCTGCCCTAGATAACGGTCTGTCTGTCGATGTGATATTCATAGATTTTAGCAAAGCATTTGATAAGGTTTCACACTTAGGTCTTATGCAGGAGCTCTCCAGCTTCGGAATATTAGGTGCTGTACAGGAATGGGTAGGAAACTTCTTATGTGACTGCAGACAGAGAGTGAGGGTCAATCGAATGCTATCCGAATGGAAGCCGGTCAAAGTGGTGTATCCCAAGGCACTATCTTAGGCCCTCTACTTTTCCTTCTCTACGTTAATGAATTACCGCTGTTGCTTAGGTCGTTGACATTATTGTTTGTGGATGACGTAAAAATCTGGAGAGCAATAAGAAGTGAGGCTGATCATTTGGATCTCCAAGCTGACTTAGACGATTTAGTTAGATGGGCTCGAGGTTGGGGCTTAGAATTCTAGGAAGTGTGCTCATGCACATCGGTCACGGTAAGTCACCATTATACTATTGATGGTACATCTCTTCCACGCGTTCAAGAACTTAAAGACTTAGGAGTAACAATAAGTCGTGAGTTGAAAACAACTACGCATTGCAACGCAGATGCTGTCAAAGGTTTTCGTGCGTTATGGTCGCTTCTCCGAGCATTAAAACGCTTTGACGAGGAAATGTTTCGAATTTTATATCCCACCTATGTAATACCACACTTAGAGTACTGTATCGAAGCAGCTAGCCCATGTCTGGTAAAGGATACTAACTCACTTAAGCGTATCCAGCGTATGAGAACGAAATTAGTGAAGGGTGTTTCTAAACTCCCTTACGATGAGCGTTTACAACGCCTAAACCTTTTCCCCTTGTCGTACCGTAGGATGCGAGGTGACCTTATACTGGCATTTCGTATCTTTAGTTATGATTTGGGTGTTGATATATCTTATCTTTTTGCTCCCTTCAGCACTAATGATCTCCGAGGTCATAGCATTAAGGTTCACAGACAACGATCTAATAAACTTAAAGTGGGGTCTCGTTTTTTTCATCGAGTAGTCAATGACTGGAACGCCTTACCCGAACAAGTGGTATATTTTCAAGAAGCTGGACCTTCACTGGAAGGCAATCTGTCAGGATTAACACAGGCTTACCAACTTACCATCCTTATTGCTGAATACATAATCAGTAAAAGCACTAAAACACCTAGTATTTCGTTTGCATTAACGTTGCTTTGGACGATTAGGTCGATTTAGAGAGTCAAATCCCAAGCAGAAGAATAAAACATAATTTAACAAAATGTCCATAAAAAATCTTAAACCTGATGTTAGCGGGACATAGACTAGATTAAAGCATGCTCAATGCATGATTGCTTTGGTGCACGCTGATTGGCTAATTCTTATCCAATCAGCGCTAGTCGATTATAAATATACCGACGTTTTCCCCTATTGTGCTCCTTGGCTTTGACTTGCTATTTGGAATATAATCTTTTTCCTGTTCAACCGTGTTCTGATTTGAATAGGAATAGCTGGGTCATTAACCGTAAGAAGAGAGAGATTATAACATTGGATTATTGAGATTTCGTGCATTTTGAAGGAGTGGAAACAGACAAGAAAAGGACTGAGACTTAACAAACATCAAACTATGGGCACACAATGACCACAGTGATAGTCTTGTGCAATACCAAAAAGATAAACAACATCCTCAGCCTGCAGTTTAAACCAGCACTTAAGAGAACAGAAACACTCCAAATATAATTCAGGCTCTATATACATATTCGTCTTGGTGGCGGTTACCATGAATCTTGTGATGACTCATCAGGCTTGAGTCTTGGCTTAATCGTTTAACAAATTTTGCCACGATCAGACGATCTAGTTTTCATCAGTTGTCTTGTACTTCATCAGGTCTGTGGCAAACAGTTAAAACTTTACATCTATACACAGAAACATCACGAATGACTTACACAGAATCCAACGACTTTACAAATAGAAATCTCCCTGTAAATACCCAGTTACACCAAATTAGCATGGAATAAACTGTTGGTACGAAAGTTGAGTCATATATAGCCTGACAGTCAAATCCTGATTTAAAAATTCTATGAACGGCATATTCATTTCTACAAATAATATGTCGATTCATTACTAATATCGTAAGCACAGTCGAATAAATTACACTCAATAACCAGTACTTGATAAACAAGTATTTAAAACAACTAAGACTTACTTCCTTGAAGACTGTTCCATCCTTTATGCATGAATCTGGGGCTGATTTTGTATAGTCTTTAGGACCTTTGACTCCACAACATTGAAACTACAGCAGTTAAGATGCATTTGTGACTTACTGATGACTGAATCAAGTCCATGAATAGAGTTACCTCTTTAGTTGGGTTATTTATGGCACTAGTCATGGATTTCTCAAGTCTTTCATCAATCTCTTGCCTGTAAACATACATGACAATGGGGACGGCCAATTCAGAAATCAGAAGTACGATGAGGAGGAATGAATACTACAAACTGTGTCTTAGCTAAAGTAACTTACCAAATACAGCATATAAACATTTTCCTTTATAGCCCCACAACAGCCCAAAAAGCTCACTATAAGAACTATCGCTCCAATAATAATTATAATGATGGGTAGTGCTTGCCAGACACTGTGTAAGTTGTCCCCATATTGGCTAAATTTAACTTGTAAATATACACCAGTTCCAATCAGAGCAACGGAACACAGCTAAAGGCAGAAAAATAAAATGATCGAGTATTATTACTAGACAGATAGTGTTCATAATGAACAAACTGCTCTTTAGGAAGCCCATTCCAGACGAGTCAGCTACAGTCTTCGCGTAAAAAACCAACAAACGAAAATCGCTCCATTTATATTGAGTTTTTATCAGTAGAACAATCAAACAAACAACTAAGGTGTTCAAAAAGTTGGGGAGAGGAAAGAAGAAGCTCTTACCGAACGGGCTTCTGTCTCTAGTAGCAGTGAGTTATTGATGCTTTCAGGTTGAAACCTAAGTATATTACCGATAAAAGAGAAAAAAAGAATTATTGATGTAGTAGTAAACAAATCCCGAAAATAAATAGCTCTGTATGTTTTCGGCATTAGATGCTGACCACATTAGTTTCAATGGACTCACCTAGCTGAAGGTGCTCGGTCATGCATCCGCACCAGATCACGAGTGGAAACGCCGTGATCAACATCCCCTGCAGTCGCTAGTCAAATTAGATCAGTCGATCCACGATATATTGGTAGCCTATCAAATATATCTTCGAACCTCCTCACCTCTGTCTTTTGATTTCACTTGATGGGTACGATTCATACTAGAAGGTGTTACTCGTTAAAGCGTTGTCGAAATCCAAATATCTGTGGCGTCTTCATTGGTGAGCCCGACGTGATCTGGTACACTAAATCGCAAACTGTGAGTCTGTTCGTTTTTGGCATTTTATATATTATTTTAATTTCTATATATTGTGATATTTTCTCCGTAGTTTTGGATATTTATGTATTTATTTCACTCGTTCATTTTCGTATTTGATGCTTCACCATGACGGAACAGACACCCAAGGTACTTAAGTTAGAGACTATGTCCCCACCTTCGTCCCAACTAATGCCCTTCTGGCCAGACAACATCGAAGCCTGACTCTGTTATGCAGAGGCCGACTTCTACGAGCACGGCGTGAACGACACACGTGCACAATTCCTGGCAGTAGTCAAGGCACTACCGCGCGAATTCAACGAGTAAGTAACGTTTGATATGTTTACTAGTGATGTCTCAGAACCCTACGAAACACGAAATCTTCTAATGCCGAGGATTTTTCAATCAAAGAAAACCCTCGAACGACCCCGAATGACATAACGGAATTGTGTCATACACATACACGTTATCCTAGATTTCGTAACGACCTTAAACGGTCACATACTCGACGAAGAAGCACTACACATAAGCGATCTGTCTCTAGACCACGAGAGACGGATAACACTGACTGGTGCTGGTATCATAACCAGAATGGAAAGTCCTCCAGAAATTGCAGAAGAACCTGCAATTTTCGAACTCAAAATCGACCGACACGAAAACAAGTTCGGGGAACTTCCCAGCCGACACGCGTCAACTGCAACCATATCCGGCGAACATAGCCGTCTGTTATACGTCGCAGATGTGATCACGATAGCGCACCAGCTGGCTCCGAAAACCTGAGATTGGCTAAAAACGAATTAGATCACATGATAGAGTCGGGGATCATTCGATCACCAAAGAGTTCATCGGCATCTCCGTTGCGCGTGGTCCCTATAAAGAACAGCAACGATTAACGTTCAACTGGTGACCATCGGTGATTGAATGTAAATAACCGTTCCCGATCGTTACCTAATGCCTCACATTCACAATTTGACAGCTACCTTGAAAGGTACAACTGTCTTTTCGAAAATCGACTTGGTTAAAGCCTATAACCAATTCCCTATGCCTACAGGCGATATACCGAAGACAGCTATCATTACTCCTTTCGGACTCTATGAATTTTTGCGAATGCCTTTCGGTCTAAGAAATGCTGCTCAAACATTCCAAAGGTTCATAGACGACGTTTTTCGAGGTCTCAACTTCGTACATGCGTATGTTGACGACTACTTAATAGCAAGTTCGAACATAGAATCGCAACCCAGCATCTGGATCTTGCCTTCGAAGGACTACAAAAGCATGGCATCATTGTAAACACTCAGAAATATCAGGTCGAAACCAACTCCCTAGATTTCCTAGAATACACTATTGATGCGCATGGCATTCGACCTCTGAAAAACGAAGTGGCAGCCATTCTGGATTACCCGAAACCGACTTCGACCAAGCAACTACGCAAGTTTAACAGCCTTTCAAGTTTCTACGGACGGTTCATAACAAAATGCGCATCCCTTATGAAACCGTTAACCGGCCAGCTTCGTGGAAATGCGAAATCCATCAATCTGGACGATACCGCGCAACAAGCATTCTCCACAGTTAAGGAACGAATAGCAAAGGCAACTGTGCTCGCAAATCAGGACACTCAAGTACCCATTAGTATCTCAGTATACATGTAGAATTATGGTCTACTATGATATTAGTACTATTCTAACAATAGACCTAATCCTAAAATTGTAGATTCGTCATGATATAACTGCCTAATCTATAAGATCTTACGTGGAAGTCACACCATCGACTACGCCAACTCACTGTATCGTATCAATTACCAATACATGATGAAGAACGAGGTTAGGTTAGAGAAAGAACAATATATTTAATATGAATAGAGACCACGCCTGCATGGCCGAGCCATGCCACTCGATCAACTCCAGTCCATTCAATTCATTGTTCGCGCCTTCTCCATTTTTAGGTATTTCTCGGCGTTAAATATTGAATATTTATTTTCTGAGTAGTCTCGTGTTCACAGCTTTGTGGATTGTGTGGCTATTGTCCAATGCCACTACAGACACATCCGACTCAGCAATCGGCGGATTCTTACAACAATTGGTTAACCACTCCTGGCAACCTTTAGCATTCTTCTCGAGACGGTTGCTAGACACTGAATCGAGGTACAGCACGTTCAGTAGGGAACTCCTAGCTACGTATTGTGCTGTACGGCATTTTCAACACTACATTGAAGGCCGTGAATTCACTCTTTTTACTGATCATAAACCACTTGCTTTCTCTCTATGCTCCTCTTTTGACAAGAACTCACCATGTGAGTGTCGACAACTGGACTACATTTCGCAGTTTACTTCAGATATTCAACGCATTTCTGGCGCAAACAATATAGTCACAGCCGCCTTGTCTCGAATAACTTCCTTGAACAGTTTCTGAGGAATCGAATTTCTCAAACTCGATTAGCTTCAAAAAGAATACATTGATCTTCAGCGCGAGTTATCCTCAACAGTCCTTGAACTGCGAGTCAAACAGATGGTAACAGGTAAGAAAACTTTACTGTGACACGGTTTCGGCACTGTTGGACGATCCCTACCTTTAGATGTGTCATAGTAAAGTTTTCTTACCTGTTACTATCTGTTTAATTAGCAGTTCAAGGACTGTTGAGGATAACTCACACTGAAGATCAATGTATTCTTTTTGAAGCTGGTCGAGCTTAAGAAGGTCGATCCCTTGGTAACCGTTTAATGGAGTTATGCGAGACAAAGCAGCTGCAACTATATTTGAAGCCCCACAAATGTGCTGTACATCTGGAGTAAACTGCGAAATGTAGTCCAGTTGTCAAGATTCTCGAGAGCAGTACTTCTTTGAAGACGAGCTAAGGGGAGTGAGAGTGAATTCTCAACCTTCCACAGAGTGCCGAGAGTGCTGTACAGTATAATACCATGGCTAGGAGTTCCCTATCGAAGGTACTGTACCTCGATTCACTTTCTTGCAACTATCTAGGAAAGAATGCTAAAGATTGCCAGGTGTCGTTAACCCACTGTAGTAAGACTTTTGATTGCCGAGTCGGATGAATCTACTGTGATACTACTGGTGCTTGGATGTCTTATCGTGGAAGCATGGTTGCATTTGCGATAAGTTCTCTTATTTTTGTAGAACGGTTTTCTCGCGATATCGACTAAACTGATGGATTTCGCATTCCTACGAAGTTGGTCGTTTAGAGGTTATTATTATTCACAATGGGTGCATAAGTGTTGTGAAGAAACCATTTCAGGTTTCTTCAGAAAATGCAGTAACACACAATGTTCAATAAATATTTAAATAAAAAAAGAATAAAAAAAAAAAAAAAAATATAAAAAAAAAAATAATTGTGGTTTGGTGTGTGACAAAATCTCAGAACGGATACAGAGGGCTCGACTAGCTTTTGCCAACTTGCGTCATTTATGGCGTAGGCGAGATATCTGTCTATCAACCAAAGGACGTGTTTACTGTGCAACAGTTTGTTCCATCCTAATTTATGGCAGTGAAACATGGCCGGTGAGAGTAGAGGATATTCGTAGGTTACTAGTATTTGATCGTAGGTGTCTTCGAAATATTGCTCGTATATCGTGGGACCATCGAGTAAGTAGTGCAGTTGTTAGGAAACGGGTACTAGGTAAGGATGGCAAATCAATTGACAAAGTGGTGAAACTTCATCAATTGAGATGGCTGGGACATGTGCTACGTATGCCCAACCACTGACTGTGCCGACGTGTGGTGTTTTATGGTTTAGGAGTAGGTTGTAAGAAAGTTAGGGGCTGCCAGACCAAAACATGATACAAATCCATGAAGTCACTGACAAGTGAACTGAGTGAGTCATGTTGACA